ATATTGCTTACCGGTGCTAAGAAAGCTAAGCATGTCGCTATACAGCTCATTAAAACGATATGGTGGAATATTATATTCATCTTTAATTAGGTAGTTCATGGGCTGTTGCTGTTTGTTCTATGGGTCCGAGAATGAAGTGACGCACAGTCCAAAATTTGTAAATGTCTTCGATCATTGTTAAACTATATATCTGTTTGTTCTTCCGGTTTATGTACTAATGCTAAAATTGCAAATCTGCTGGATTTTATCTACATACCACAACCTTTTCATTTTGAAAACGTAAAGTCAAAAGCAGAAAAAAAACGAAAAAAAAAAAAAATAACAAAACAGGAAGAACTGAGGATTTCCTTTTTCATATCAGTTTAAAACAAATGGAAGGAAATCCCAGTTTTCTAGTGACCGGAATGGAAAAAATGCACCTCTTGATTATTTGCAAAATGATGAGAATGCAGTTTGTGAATCAGTCAATTATTTTTTTTTATTTTTTTTTTTTAAATGGTGTAGGTTATGTCATATGATGTTAAAGGACATGTGAATAATAGGAATGCTTACAAACTCCCTATTCTGCTAATATATTTAAACACTTACCGTAAAAGCAGATTGAAAACTAGCACACTACTGATTTGCAATGTTGAGGCATCTATCCACACATTCTTTGTAGCAGTCAAAAGCTGTGATCTTCCCCAATCGGAGTTTATATACTTAATAAATATTGACAGAATTGTCAAGGTAGTGGGAATTTATGCCAAAATAGTTGGATGGAAAATATGGAAAATAAAGTATTTTTCGTTCTCCACAGTTCCTGGTTTACAGAATAAACTTTAGATCCTATTCAATAACTCACCGATTAGTCCTCAATTAAGAAAATCATCATCATAAGAGCAGACATTAGGCTGTTAGAGTAGGGTCTGCCAAAGATGGGGTCCATTGACGTTGTGGCAGGCTTATGCAATGTATGAGCATATAATGTAACTAAACACCCATTATTGTTGGCTAGATTAGGTGCTTTAAAAAACAACAACAAAAAAAACCTAATAAAATCTGTCAACATTGAAGGTGCTGTTTAGTGGATAGGGGAGTGCACTGGATTTTGAGGTTTTTGTGTATTGTATAAATTGGACCCCAGCAGCACCCCATTTATGCATGTTCATGTGAGTGCAGCCCCCTGGTTTAATATATATATATATATATATATATATATTTGGGAGTCTAGCCAACCCCTTTGTTTTGCACCCCTTCCTGTCACAGGTGCCTCACCCCAGAGCCCTATTTAGCCTTGTACTGCTGAGAGCCTCAGATGGAATCAGTGGCGTCGCTAGGGGGGGGCCAGAGGGGGCCATGGCCCCCCCTACATCATGCTGTGCCCCCCCTTGGGCCCCCCCAAATGCCAGCAACTTGCTGGCCATGGGCTTCCCTCGGACTGTAACAGCCTGTTACAGCCCGAGGGAATGCAGGAGAGAGGTGCTGGGGGCTGTCTGTGGCCGGAGGGAGCACTGATTGGCTCCCCGGCACAGGCTCCGCCCCCAAACGAAGCCCCGCCTCCCGCCGGTAAGCCCCGCCCCCGCCGTTATGCAGCAGCCCATGCTGCTGCTGAAGATGGCTGCCTGACCCCCACAGGTGACAGGTAGGCTGGGGGGGGGGTGTACACACACACATTGCCCCCATACACACACACTGCCCCCATACAGCCTCCCATACACACACACTGCCCCCATACAGCCTCCCATACACACACATTGTCCCCCATACTGCCCCCCATACACACACATTGTCCCCATACAGCCCCCATAGACACACACTGTCCCCCATACAGCCTCCCATACACACACACAC